AATTTTTTCATGTTCTCATAAGCTATTTATGCTCAGTAAAGTGTGTTGCAATCTTTTCATTTTTAAATTGAGTTATCTTTTTGTTCTAGAGTTATAGTTGCCATGTATATAGTCTAGATTCGAGTCCCTTTTCAGATATATGATTCATAATTATTTTTTTTTCTTTACATGACTTGTACTTTCAAATATACTGGTGGTGTCTATTGATGCACAATAGATTTATTTTTTACTTTTGATAGTGAACAATGTATCTTGCTTTTATTTGTGTCTCTTCAGCATATTGTATCACATTTAATAAATCATCATTTAACCCGGTATTATTAAGATTATACCTGATTTTCTTCTAGTCATTTAAAAATTCTAGCTCATACATTTAGGTCTTCGATTCACTTCTGAGTTAATTTTGATATATGATGTAAGGTACAGATATTCCATTTTTGTGTGTAAATATGTAGTTGTTTCAGTACATTTGTTGAAGCTACTCTTTTCTTCACCATCAAAATGGCATGCTAGCTTATTTGGGGATTAATATTAGCATAAATGTGAGAATGGATTCCTGAACTTTCTATTCTATCTCATTGATTTATAAGACTTTCATGTCTACTTTTTTTCTTTTTCTTTTCTTCTCTTTTCTTTTCTTTTTTGTCTTCTCTTTAGTACTGGGGATTAAACCCAGGGGCACTGTTACATTTAGTAACATCTCCAACCCTATTTATTTATTTATCTATTTATCTATCTGTTTATTTATTTTAAGATAGGGTCATGCTAAGTTGCAAAGGGTCACCTGAGTTGATAAGGTTGGTCTTGAACTTGTAATTCTTCTACCTTAGCCTCTTGAGTGGCTGGGATTACAGGTGTGCACCACTATGTCCAGCTACATGTCTGCTAGAGTTACTACTCAGTTAAACCCTATTAGGGGATTCATTTCTTGATAAATGTAGCTTTCTGGCAATTCTTTTTTAAATGAAGAAGTTGGAAGTATTTCAATGATGTTCTTTTTTGAAAATTCATGATACTTTGAGTTTCTATACAAATTTTATGATCACTGAATATATTAACACCTTAACAAGCTGAAGTCTTTTGATACATGAACATGGAATGTCTTTGTATGTTTGAGTTTTCCTCAGTTTCTTTTTACAGTGTTTTTTACAATGTAGTTTTCAAAATATAATTATTGTTCCTATTAAAATTTCTTCTCAAGTATTTTATTTTAAGGCAGTTTCCACTGGAATTGTTTTTATTTATTTCACTTTGGGTTTGTTTGTTGTTATTAAAGAAGGGTAAAATTATTATATTTTCTATGTTTGTCTTGTTTCTCATTACTAGAGCAGATTATGCTTAGTGAAGCTAGTCAATCCCTAAAAAACAAATACTTTATGTATTTATTTTTTATGTGGTGCTGAGGATCCAACCCAGGGCCTCACATGTGCTAAGCAAGTGCTCCACAGCTGAGCCATAACCCCAGCCCTGCCTTTAAACTGATTTATTAACACTAACCACATTTTATGTGACTATTAATAGAATTGAATTATAATATATAATCTTGCTGACTATTTTCTATTTGTCTCATGTGTTTGTGTGTCTTTTTTTTTTCCTTTTTCCAATTTTTTCTTAAGCAGGTGTATTTCAGAACACTTTTTCTTTCTGTTTTACTTTAGTCTTTTTCTCACATGTCATTTACACCATTTTAACACAGTCTTTGTCTACCTTCAGGGTTTATGTCACCTCACCTGTAAAATTTTCAGTGGTAAAATCCCATTTTCTCTGTCTCATTATTGTGCTTCTTGTCATGGATTGTAAATCATAATCACAACAAACAAAAACAAAGACTGAACTGTTTTGCTTTAAAAGTCAGTTATATGTAGAACAATTAAATCAAGGAAAAAAATATGAATTTATTTCAATTTTTCATAATTTTATTTGTAGCAATGTTCATTTCTTTGTGTAGATCTAAATTTTAATTTGATGCCATAATAACCCTCCTTTTAGGTTTGTTGGCAATGAATTATGAAGGTTTTTTTGTTTGTTTGTTTGTTTTTCCTGAAAAGTGTTCTAACATTTGTTTTGAAAGGGTAAAGTTTCTAAGCTGCAAAGCCTGAGTTAAAATGTAAAGGACCAGGCATTGTAAACCTGCTTCTAAACTGCAAAGCCTGGGTTAAATTCCTGTAGCTGTTAGGACAATACCCGAACTGCCCAGTAAATAATAATGTCAAATAGGTTGATCCTCTGGTTGTTTAATAACTTAGGACCCTGTGTAGCCCGGCACATAGGCATTCAAGGCCCAAAAACAATCAGTTTGAATGTGTACCCCGCTTAGAAGTGACCAATCACCCCTGCCCAGCCTGTTCCCGCCAAAGAATGTACTAATCAAGCCTAAGAATTATTGTTTGATTTTCCCATAGTGTATGGTGATTTGTTAAAGGAGACTATGATGTGTATAAAGTCCCCGCCCTCCCTAAAAAGTGTACTTAAGCACTGCTCAACCCCTGCCCAGGGCTCTGGGCTGCTCTCCTTTCCTGAGTGGGCACGGAGCCTCAGCATGCTGAATCAATAAATCCCCTTCTGCCAATTGCATGAGTGGTCTCTTGGTGGTCTAGTTTCTCTAGATTTTTGCAATCCAAGTTGACAGTTTGGGTAAAGGGATTATTTCAGTCATTTAAAGATGCTATTCTTCTTTTTCAATCTGTATTTTATAGCTTCTGAGAAGTATACTGTAATGCTAATCTTTACTTCTGTATAAAATATTTTTATTTTTCTCTAGCTGATTTTAAGGTTGTCTCATTTTTTTTTGTTTTTTAGAAGCTTGCATATGATACTTATAATGTTTGTGTGGGTTTTCATTTCATTATATTGCTTATTTTCTATTTTTCCAGCATAGCATTTTCTAATATTTTTGTGTCTGTGTTTTGATGCCAGCCATTTTGGAAAAAAAGTTTTGTTTTCTGTCTTCAGATATTATAATTTCACATTTTAGAATACTTGTGATATTTTTCCATAGTTTGTACATGTTTGGCCTTGATTTTTTTATTATTGTACTCTTTTTATTTATGTTTCAGTTTGAATAATTTCTATTGGATTTTTCAAATTTACAGATTCTTTCTTTAGCTGTTTTGAGTATACTGAAAGCATTCATTATCTGTATTAAAGTTATTTTTTTTCATTTTTAGTGTTTCCATTTGATTATATTTTATAGTTTCCATTTCTCTGCTGAACACAGCCACATTAATTGATATGTTCTATATTTTTTCTCTTAAATCCCTTAACATGTAAGTCATCATTATTTAAAATTCTTGAAACTATAAAATATGTCTTTTTGTAGAATGATTATGATCATAATTAAAAAAAATTAGTTGTCAATGTATCCTTATGTTCTTTACTTTTATGTGGTGCTGAGAATCGAACCCAGTACTTCACATATGCTAAGTAAACACTCTACCACTGAGCTATAACCCCAGCCTCTGATCATAATTTTTAACATAATTTGCATGTCCTATAAATTTTTATTGTGTGATTGAAGTCTTTATAGCATACCAAAGACTACTGCATTTTATTCCTGAAAAATGGTCATTCTTCTCCTTCTGATAGAGCTTTACCTAGGGCATTTGAGTTTAAATTTGAGTTAATATAACTGGAAATTGATTGTGAGATACCTTATTTCTATGGCACATAAGTGCACCAGAGTATTCAAATTCCTATAAAAGGGATTGCTAGGGTTATTATATGCTTTTGATAGTATGTGTCCTCCAAAAGCTCCTGTTAATGCAGGAATGTTCAGAGGTGAAATGATTAGACTGTGAGAGCTATAATTTAATTACTCCATCCTAGGTTTTATGGACTGACTGAGTGATAACCATAGGCAGGCGGGTCATGACTGGAGATGGTAGACCCCTTCTCTATGGCCTCTTCCCCTGTCTGCTTCCTGGTCACCATGAACTGAGAAGCTTTGTGGCCCTTCCACCTTGAAGTGCTGCCTCATCTTGGGCTCACAGCACTCAAGTTGGCCCTCTATGGACTAAGACCACTAAAACCACGAGCCCCCAATACAAATTACACTTTTTGTCCCTTAGGTTGCTCTTGTTGGGTAGTTTTGTCACAGTGTTGAAAAAGCTGACTAAAGCAGTATGGACTTCATCTTTTCCAAACAATTATCTGTTTATTTCTGAGATTCACATCTTCCCTTGACATTGTGCTTCAGAAAAGGTATCTCTTGAACTTCAGCCAACTGTTTTCTGCTATTATTAGCTAGTGCTCATCCTTTTAATTAAATTGGGGTGAATTTTCATTTCTGTGCTTCTGATTAAGCCTTACACGTTGAGGAAAAATTATGCTCCTGGATCTCATGGGCATGGCCTTTTAGTTTTTTGGTTTGTTTATTTTCTCAGGCTGAAATTGTAGTCCCAGCATTTATTAATGTTCTTTGGTAAGAAACAATTTTTATATTTATTTTTTAGTTTTTTCTTTTTTTTTTTTTTAGGTGGACACAATATAATTTTATATGGTGCTGAGAATCGAACCCAGTGCCTCACACATGCTAGGCGAGGCCGCTACCTCTTGAGCCACATCCCCAGCCTAATTTTTTTTTTAATCCTTACTTGTTCTATTTCCTTACCTGTTTTATTTCACCTATATCTCAGAAGCAGTGCTTCGGTTCCTCTACCTCCTAGAATGAAGCTACAGTGGAGAAAGGAGAATAATCTGTGGATCAGGCAGTATTTCTGATCTACCTGACAGAGCGGTTCACTTCCTCAAGCCCATAAATATTTCTTCAAGTTCTTTTCTGATATTGTTTTTGAACAACTGTTAGAATTCTTTAAAAAAAAGAAAAGAGAAAAAAAGTCTTCAAAAGGGTGTAAATTCCTCCAATTTCAGTGGAACTCATGGATGTTATACTATGGTGAAATATCAGAAAGAGACTTTACTACCTTTTCAACTATTTTTGCTGATCTAGTCTTTGTGGTTGCATAGTTTGAGTATTTTCTATCATCTTTTCTCTCCTACAGGTGCCTTTTCTCCTTAGCTTTTGGCTAAGTTGGTTACTTTATGACCTCAGCTCTTCAATAAGTCAACAGAAGACATTAATCTAATGCAGCTGTAATTGTGTGAGAAATAGTCTTCCATTTTTCTATTTCCCAGAAAAGTGTCCATCAGATCAAATATTGGGATCAATCAGGTAATTTCCTAAAACCAGCTTCTCTTTAATTCATCAAAATGCTGGGAAAATATATAATAGTGAGAATGGTAATGAAAAATTTACTGTAATTAATAAAATTGCAGTTGAAATTTATTAAGTTTTTATTAAGTTTTAGGCACTTTGAGCAAATGTTTATAGCTAGTCCTTATTAAAGTTAAATATTGAAAGTTCATGTGGTAAAAATAAAATTGACAAATGATTAGTTTGTCCAGTTAAACTCCTCACTCCCTTTATATTAGCTTTATTTTAAGTATTACGTCAAGCTTAAATGCTTGTTTCCTCTAATGCCTTGCTATGGTACTTGTGCCCTTTAAAACTGAAGTGGGAAAGTGCTTTGGAGAAGAGATGCAACATTTATGGACCTGACAGCCTAAATTAATTAAATGCATTTATACCTTGCTTTTTAAAGTATTATTTAAAAGAGCTTCTTGATTCCTCTGTAGAAAGAAATAAGCTCTCCCATATTTTTTCCTTGAAGATTTATCAGAGCAACTGAAATTTAGCTTATTTTTTAATATGTCATTAATTTTAATGTTGGGAAATTAGGAAGGTTGGTACTTGAGGACCTTATTTCAGTGTGCTGGAAGGTGCTGAGTGCTTCCACACTTAACTTCCTAGTACTTTTTCATGTGACATCCCTCATCTCCTTTTAGTAAGTTGTACTATTTTATTTTTCTAAGATTGAACTTGAATGTGTCTTTGCTGGAGACAGCTTACGTAACTTTATAATTATCTTATTTTTGTGCCAGGAAAGGATCATATAGTGTTAAAAATTTATCCTGACAATCATAAGAATTTACCCTAGGTACTTCTCTGTCTTTTCCCTTTATGGTCTCTACACCAGGATGGCCAGTTCCATTACTTTGTCTTGGTCCAGTGTTCAGCACCAATACGAAATTCATTTCACAAAGGTAGTTTGTGAACACAAGCTTGTGTTCACAAGCTGCCTTTCAAATGTCCTCCCCTTTCACATTTAACCTTCTTATGGATAAGAGGCTATTACATTTATTTCCATATGCTCAACGACCACTACATGTCTCAAAACGTGAGTGGGAAATAAGTATTTGCTAACAAAATCAATAAGTTATTTAATATTAACATATTGTTATACATTAGTTTTTAGAGTACATTTTGAGTATTTTACATATGATTATAATCATCCTCTTACATTTTATTATTTGTACTAATGATTTCCTTCCATTTAAATATGCTTTTCTTTTATGTTATTGATCAAATCATCTGGCCTATTTAAATAATGAAGGAATAGAAAACATAGTCTTTTAACTGAACACAAATATCAATCAGAAAACTCAGTCCTATGGTTCCTCAGCATAAAGATGATGTGAAGACTTGATTGGGCGAGTTTTTTCCCCATTATTCAATGCCTTTCTTAAACACTGTAATTGCATAACTTGAAACAATGTGCAGAGTTTCAAAGTTAGACCTAATGGCCAGTATTTCAATGAGAGCCATTTACTATACCTGAGTTGCTCTCTGAACCTTAGATTCCCGAGGGATACAGGCTTAATATTCTACCTTCCCCAGAGGAGTATTATAAAAATCATATAAGATCGTGGAAGCAATGTCTTTCTAATAGTGCAAGACACATAGTGTTATATAAGCATTTATGTCTATAATTTTACAAAGTTACCTAAAATAAAAATAATATAGTAAAATAAGAGCTAAAAGGTAATTAATAATGATTTTTAAATATGTGTAACTACTCTTTTTCTCTGCGAGTCACGGGATTGATGCTAAGATTTCTGGAACCCAACATGAGAAGTCAGTCAGTTATGCATTCCATTTGGATCATGCACTTCAATCAACAGCTTAGTGGTTGAAGGACTCTTCTAGATGGTGGGCTATTTCTTCCAAGGAGATATATGAAGAGCAATGATTCAGTTCAGTGAATATTTCTTTGTGGCTTCCTCAACACAGATGCATGGCCCACCTAAAGGGCTGTTTGGGATAAGCCTGAGGCCCTCTTACTCACACCCTGTTCAGTCACTGCAGTGGTGGGTAGGGTGGTCTTCCAGCCAAGCCCTTGCTTGCTCTCCACTGCCTCTATGCTTCTCTTTTTCTCCTTTATCTCACTGCTTAACTTATTTGAGCAATTAGAGGGAGACAAAGGTTAATGCACTATAATAATACTGAAATGTGGAATTTAGAGTGGAGTTTTCAGGCAGAGAAACTTACAGTTTCATTAGAATTAACCTTTTATTGCATGTGGTAGAATTTTCTCTGTGATTCATGTTACCCAGAGGGTTTTACATTCCTGGAGCTTTGGTTAGATATTTCTGATATACTGACAAGAACCTTCAGACACCAAAGTTTTTACTAAACTAAGCTAAATAGAAATCTATTCTTTGTTTCCCTAAGGGTGCAAAAACAAGTTGAATTAAATGCCTTGCAACATCACCATTTCATCTAAGATAAACTAGATAGAAATCACTTTATTTCAACTGTATTCCCTATGGGTATCAATGCACCAGTGGAATGAGTAAGATTTTACAAGTCCAAATTGAATATCTTTATGTGAATGTTTGAAAATACCCAAACATTATTTTCAAGAAAATAACACTTTTTCCATTCATTTACTCAACGAATATTTAATGAGTATATATTACATGTTCAGGACTCTGGAAAATTCAAAATAATTGCCTGAACATTTGTGGTGGAAGAAGTTGCAGAGTAATAATTCAACTGTCCTCTTTTAAAACTTTTCCTAGATCCTTTTAGTAATGAAGAGTGTGAAATTTGTTGATCATTTTTAAATTGCTGACAAAACACTTTAAAGATAAGGATAAATCTAGGACAGTAAAACAATCTAAATCAATTACCAGATTCACTGGCTTGTGTAAATTAGTAGTGAGAAATCTCCAGCCAGAGGAGAAACTTCATTTTAATTTATTGGGTCCTTGCAAGATAGGACTGTGATGCCTGCTTTCAAAAGATGGGAGGGGAAATCTCTTCTATGTCACATGACCTACCTTAGCTTACTTATATATATGGGTTCTGTACCCACAGATTCAACCAACCCCAGATTAAAAGCACAGTGCTTCAAAAATAAAATTGCATTTGTATTTAAAATGTAGTTTTCCCCTTGCCCTTATTATCTTAATATAAAATTATAACAACTTACATATCATTTATGGCATATTAGGTATTATGAATATCCTAGAGATGATTTAAAGTATACAGGATGATGTGTATACATTACATGCAAATACTATGCCATTTTACATAATGGAATTAAGCACCTCTGAATTTTGATATCTACAGGAGTCCTGGAATACATCCCCCGAGGACTGAGGCAGTACAAATTTATATAAGTCTTATAGCATTAGTTAAATATAACATGTGGTGGCCTCTTAAATAAAAAGCGGTCATAACAATAGGTAGTAACACTGAAAAAATTATAGGGTAAACTAAAAGTGGAAAAACAGCCTCAGTTTTCTCTTCTGCCATAACAACAATGTGTAACTCTGTATGTTTCTCTATGCGTATGTTTGAAAATAACCAAAACATTATTTTATGATTTGGATGTGAGGTGTCCTCCAAAAGCTCACATGTGAGACAATGCAAGAAAGTTCAGAGGAGAAATGATTGGGTTTGTGTGAGTCTCAACCTCACAACCTCAAAGAATTAATCCCTGTTGGCATTAACTGAGTGGTAACTGGAGACAGGTGGGGTGTGACTGGAGGAAGTGGTTCATTGGGGGCATGACTATGGGGTATATATTTTGTATCTGGAGAGTGGAGTCTCTCTGCTTCCGGATCTTCATGTGAGCTACTGCCCTGTGCTACATTCTTCCACCATGATGTCCTGTCTCACCTCAAGCCCCCCAAAACAGAACCTGCTGTCTATGGATAAAGACTTCTGAAACTGTGAGCCCCTAAATAAACTTTTTGTGCTAAAATTGTTCTGGTCAGGTCCTGTTAGTCACACTAGTGAAAAAGCTGACTAAAAACATATTCCTTTGAAGAAAATAACACTTTTCCATTCATTTAGTCAATTAAAACTTAATGAGGCCTAGTTCATGTTTAAAACTCTGGAAAACCCATTACCGCTTGTGTGTTTCTCTATGTCTCTTTGGCTCAGTTCTTATCTTACCTTTTCTTTCCCCTTCCCTGTCAATTTCCACTTTTACCCCTGATGTTCCACTCTGCCTCACCTACTCATTACCATCCTCTTTTAACTGGCCCTCATAGGATATTATATTACTTTGCTTTGTTTCTTGCAATGTATCTTAAAATGTCGACTACACCTAATATTGTATTTTTTTCCACTTACATTAAAAGTCGGGAGTTTGAAACATTATTTTTTTTCTTTTCTACTTCTCTCAACCACTTAAAATACCCTTCTGCTAAGCTGAAATTCCAGAGACTGTCTAGAGATCTCAGATGGCCACTATCTGTTGGTCAAATCTGAAGTAAATCCTTCTAGTTTGGGGTGCTCAGTTTCCCCATTAGCAATGGGAAGTAAGCCTAAGTGATCTCTAAGATTCTGGCAGTTCCTGTTCTATTAAAATGATTCTATTTGCATCTTTATTTCTCTCTCTTGAGTCTCAAACCTGTAAGAGAAAACATAAGTTTTGTTCTCACTATTGTAGATAGACGATGATTATTCTCTCCATAACTAGGGCCAGGTCTGTTCAAAGTATGATTAATGAGTTTAGTAACATTTTCGTTTTTACATTTTTATAGTTGCTTCATAGTTGTACATATTAATGGGATTTTGTTGTTACATATTCTTACATGCATGCAATATAACAATAAAATTTGGCCAATATCAGTGCCCAGCATTTTCCCCTCTCCCTCCTACCTCTTACCTCTTGTCCCTTTTCTCTACGGATTTCCCTTTGATTTTTTGAAGATCCACCCCCACCTTGATTTTCCTCTATCCTTGGTACTAAGGGAAGCTAGGAAATATTTTTTAGGCATCTTCTGAAACAAAGTCAAGAACTTGGAAATCTAATGTCAGAATTCACTTGTTCAAAGTACGCTACTGAATCTGAAGGACTGCTCTGCTTTGTAGCATGTTAAAATGTTCTCCATTATTTTATAAGTGTTGCTGATTAATTAAAGATTTAAACTACTCTTGCACATTTCTGGTGGGGCTGCAAACTGGTGCGGCCAATTTGGAAAGCAGTATGGAGATTCCTGGGAAAGCTGGGAATGGAACCACCATTCAACCCAGCTATGCCCTTCTCAGACTATTCCCTGAAGACCTTAAAAGAGCATACTACAGGGATACTGCCACATCGATGTTCATAGCAGCACAATTCACAATTGCTAGACTGTGGAACCAAC